TTCCATTTTTCTGCATTATCATGGGGTACATATATTATTTTCCACCCCGAAAAATGTGCCAAAAATCCCAAGGGAACGTGTTATGATGGAGCAAGTCTCATGAATTTGTAATTTTTGTTTGACAAATAAACATATATTAACATACAGCGTTAACAACCTTTGATAGTTACAATGGTTGTTAATGGGGATGAAAAAGGAACTTTATGCCCTTCGCAGGTCTTGAAAGGAAAGGAAAGCTAGTCATGAGTGCAGTCAGTTTCACTTAGTGACTGATTCATTTCATGATGTAGGGAATGAAAACCAAATTGGGCTTTGAAGAAACTGGAAAGGTAGACTAATGACTTTTTGAACTCTTGTGCTCAAGAAGATTTGTGATAATACAATGGATAGCCAAGAAGACAAATTGAACATAAGCATCTTGGTATAAAGGTAAAGTTTCCCCTTGCACATATGTGCTAGTCGTTCCTGACTTGAGGGGGCAGTGCTCATCTCCGAAGACCTCTCCATGGTCATGAGGCCAGCATGACTAAACGCCGAAGGCGCACGAAACGCTGTTCCCTTCCCACCAAAGGTGGTTCCTATTTTTCTACTTGCATTTTTTACGTGCTTTCGAACTGCTAGATTGGCAGAAGCTGGGACAAGTCATGGGAGCTCATCCCGTTATGCAGCACTAGGGATTCGAACCGCCAAACTGCCGACCTTTCTGATCGACAAGCTCAGCATCTTAGCCACTGAGCCACTGCCTCATCTTGGTATATAGGTATCTAAATAAAGAATGTTGGACATTTTGAGTACATTATTGATCCAGATTCTTAAAAATCAATACTGGAAACATTGTCCCATATGTTTGCTTTTAACAAAAAATACATCATCTTCTCTAAGATGGTGTCTGCTATATTTATAGAATTTCTACAGTTTAATCTGTCATATTTATTTGGCATCTTCTCTCTGAGAGTTCTTTGATCTCATCACAAGATCCCGTCTTTCATTGTGGAAAGTCTGCATTTCCCCCTATTTTCAGTTTCCATTTCTTGTTTCTTTGAGCTTAAAACTGTATATATATAGAATTTCTACAGTTTAAGTCACTTTCTGGTGACTTTGTGGTACCAGAGATTATAGAGAGAATAAATTACTACATCAGTTAAATGAAAGCTCTTTTATGTTTCCAGACAGACTTCTGTTAAGCCTGAAAATTAATATTCCTTCTTGTCTCAAAGGAAGTGAAAAGGGCAGAAAAGGGTTTTAGATGAATAGAACTAGACACTTTTCATCATTCAGCAAATAAAATTAAAAAACCCAACCCCAAGATTTTAAAATTTGTGCAGGGAGATATGCCTCTATGTGTAACCATAAAGCACATCTAATATTTGTGCCATTCTTGTAAGCTTTTGTTTGACTAGCTGAAAAGCAGTGTTGGAATAGATTCTTAATATTGTTTTATTAACTCAATGTCTAATTGATTACATGTAGATGCAATAAGACCAAAGCAATGATTTTTTTAGTTGAACCCCCCCACCCACCCCTTTAAAAAAAAAGTTAACGGTATGCTGAGTTGGAATTGGGTCTATTGAACTGTCGATTGGATAAATGTGCTGATTGCCAATTCACAATCAACTTCTTGTTGACTTTAGTAGACAAAATAAAATTCACACAGTGCAGCTCAACCAAGTGAGAAACTAAACCTAGACCAAATCTGAACCCTGTCATGTTGGGAAAATGCCCACACCACATTGTAGAGTTTCCTTCCTTCCTTCCTTCCTTCCTTCCTTCCTTCCTTCCTTCCTTCCTTCCTT